CAAACAAGTCACACAAGAGCCCTTAAGTTTCAGGCTTGCATGGAGCCTAGGTACTACCCTCGTGAAGTTCAGTTGGTTCAACCTGCCCTAGTAATAGTAATCGGGTTCTAGAGGTTCTCAATATCACTGACCATCCTCCATCGGTCATGGTTTCAGCTCACACAATCTTTTCTTGCAGTCGGAACTATCTCGAGAGTATGGTCTCAATGAGTGTAACATTGAGTATCAACCAGTTCTGAGCTTTATACCGAGGTCAGCTATCTCACTACTTTCTAATGGCCAAGTTGGTCAATTATAGATTCTAAGGTCAGTTGATGCGTAACGACACCACACAGAAGACCCGTATTCTCCTTGTTTCTCCACAAGGGATACCGGTACCAACCAATGTGCCACATCAATGTAGCTACTACTTTAACTGTATCGGTCTACGCCGTACAGTTCCCTCATAGTCTATTGCTACTTACCTACAAGGTGTCCCCATATTCGGGTTAGGATCTATAGTAACTCCTGATACAAAACCCTCAAAAGTAAAGCAATTAAATTAAACAAGAGAAGCAAATATGATGAACTAATCCTAAGGTATACCCCACTTATTTATTCCCCAGCAGAGTCGCCAGTTCTGTGGTACGGTGGCAGAACCGACTGTTTTGGAAAATGCTGGTTTGCGTTTTTGCGTTATTTGTTCGCAAAATGTCTCGGTAAGCAAGAGTCGCCACCGACTTTTATTTTATCCAACTGAAAAGGAAAAAAGCACAGAAAAATTCCTTTTTCGAGATTTTAAGTACGGGGGGTAAATTATAGAAAGGGAAGGTATTAGCACCCTTTCTATCGGTGGTTTTCCATGGGCTCTTAGGTACTTTCTCATCATTTTGAAATTGCTTCTGTGTTTGTGTGTTTTGAAAAGTTTTTGTTTTACTTTGTTTTAACCCTTGTATCAGCCCTCAAGAGTGTTACGAAGTGTTCTTGAAAACTTTGTTTGAAAAGTGTATGGTGTGAAAAGTTTATTATGAGCAAGTACCTACTAGCATCTACCTACTCGAAAAAGGATTGTTTCTATTCTCGTTTCCTTTAGACAGCACTATCCCACTATTAGTGAGTAGGTAGCACCATCGTTGGAGTTGTAAGGGTCAATTCGAAAGGGACGTATAATCACTAAAGCAACGTTAGGACGTCTTAGTAATAACCCTAATGTCTTAAGATCATATTCGAGGCAACGTTTCCGAGGCAACCTTTTCGAGCGGGACATTTGATCTTTGTTTAGACAGGAGGGCGACCACTAAAACACCCTATACTTAATGATCGTTTAGCGAAGGCAACCGAAGTGAGAGTATACCCTAGGAGTGCGCATGTGCAAGTGATTTGATTTCAGTTATTATCTTTGCACATTTAGGGTTTGCTAACCATTTTAAAATTAACATACATTCTTATTATGCAACCTATTATTATACATCTAACAGTTAATATTTGCGAAAATTAAAATGCGGAAAATAAAACTACGCTATTACAAGGCTTCGGGGATGGGGATTAATTACATAGCCAAAAACCCGCAAAAAGATAAATAAGCGAAAAGTCCTAATTTGCAAAAAAAAATAATAATAAACGCGCGATGAATCGAGAATGAGAGAAATTAGGGTTTTGACCCCGTCTAGTCCTAATTGAAAGAAATGTCTTTTTTTTATTATTCTTGAGAAAAATAAGATTTTAGTTAAAAAAAACCTAATTACTAATTAATTTAAATTAAGAAAAATAATTAATTTGACCTATTTTTGCATTTTTATTATTTTAAGAAAATAAAATAAAAATTAAATCAAAACAAATCCTAAGTTTCTATTGATTTTAATTTATTTACAAAAAAAAAGTTATAATTACTCTAGAATTAAATTAAACTAATTAAATTAAATTTTGATTAAAATAAAAGTAAAACCTAAATCTAAATTGGTGAAATTGATTTTATGATTTTGTAAAAAAAAAGAATTTAATTTTGATTGGTCAATTTTAGAAAAAAAATAATTTTAGTATTGATAAAGAAAAGAATAATTAAAAAAAGAAATTAAAAGAGGTAAAAAGAAATAACCCAAGGGTCTGCTATCAGCGGCGCTGACTAGAGGATGATGGGCTAGAAGATGGTGGCCCTCAGAAGATGGGGACATGTTGGATCTAGTTCTGAATGGGATCCAGAAGATGATGGCCTGCACGTGCTAGATCTGGTTCTGACTGGGATCTAGAAGATGATGCAATGCACGTGTTGGATCAGGTTCTGACTGGGATCCAGAAGATGATGGCCTGCACGTGCTGGATCTGGTTTTGATTGGGATCCAGAAGATGATGCACGAGATTTGATCCTGTCTAATATGTTAGAAAGATGATGCACTGGAGCTGCTGCTGGCCGGTGGATCCAGAAGGTGGTGATCTTCAGAAGATGCACATGCTGGCTCTGGCGAAAACAAAGGAGAATATACCAAAAGCTTATGCCTGGGGTCGAACCCAGAACACTGAACTTTTGATTTCCTTCTTCTGACCAACTACGCTGGATGTTAGTTCATTAATATAATAGAAACAAACAATATATCAGATCTACAGGTTTCTAGCCAGAATAACGCGCCAAAATTTGAATCAGCCAGTCTGGCTATGACACACTATCATCTTCTTCCCTGGAACCATCGTTTAAAGTTCTGAACTTTTACCTATAAACACATGGCCATAGGTACAACCCTGTGTTTCTCCAGAATTCCATATAGGCATGATAAATCAATTCTAGTGGTACCAATCAACTCGTGGCAACCTCACGAGCATCATGGTACCACTCTTCATGGCCAATTGTACCTGCAATCAAAACCCCTAAAAACGAACCCTAAACCCTAATCATGGCAGATCTCTGTATGGCTAACAAAAACGCAATTGAATATTATCATTAGATTGCAAATGTTTCACTGAACAAGAACATGTAAAGAATTCATGCTATAAATGCCAGAATAATGGTATTGACTTTCAAGAAAGTAAGGATATCGTGAGATGCTTACAATGCATTTTTGGGAACAAAATTGCTTGTTGATGATTGGGATAGACTCCTTGAAAGCCCATCAAGTGAATGCTATGCTTGGAATGACTTGAAAACGCCTGGAACTATGAAATTCGATTGCCACTTTTCTTGAGTTTTTGCAAGTTTTTCTTCAGCTTCTTACGCCTCTCACCCTTGTGCATTTGGTATGGATTTGTTCTATATGTAGCCTTGAGTGAATTAGGTTTACAAATTTGTATCCAATCTTCTCCAATAAAGATCATTGATCAAGATTTGATTCTCATATAAATCTTTCCAAATCAAGCCAAAATCCAATCTTTTTGTGTACAAACAAGCCTTGCACGATTTGATCTCATTTCCAGCTATTCATGGACCGGAAATATGCATAAAATCTCAAGGTTTAAATGATTTTGATATTTTGATGATTTTATTAGGATTTAATTTGATTTAGTTGAAGTAGAAATCAAAATAAATGGAAAAAATAAAATAAAGGCAAGTGGGATGTATCATGGGTCGTGGATCATGTTTTCAACTCAATGCAAGCACAAAAAGTTGGGCCCATTTGGGAAAAATTGCAATTTGAGACATATTTGACTTTTGGAAATTTTGCAAAAAAGGTCAACTTCACCAATGCATAACTTCCTCAATTTGGACCTTAGAGATGTGTTCTATGACTTTTTAGAAAAATCAAGATGTCCTCTAAGCAACCCTTTTGGTCTCATCTCAATTGAGTCTTCCATGTTCATGTATGAAGCTTTGACAAAAAAGGTGTTTTTGTTGAGTTTTCAAAATGACCTATAATGTCCAAATTTATATCTTCTTGTGAGTGCATTTTTTGTACTTGGGAGATGAAGATGGATTGTATTGAATTGCATCCTCTTCAAAATTAGCTTTTGATGGGTTATTTATGATAAAGTATGAGAAAGTTATGCTTGGTCAAAGTTGAGTTGACTTTTCCTATAAAATCCTAATTTAGCAACTTTTGGGTTTTGATGAATTGTGAGCAATCCTTGAGGAATCATGATCAACCCTTGATCAAATGATGAATAATACTTCAAAATGGTAATGTTGACCAAAAATCTTGAAGCTCGACTATATGTGGGCCACAGTTGACTTTTGTCCTAACACAATCGATTTTCAGGCTTTTGAGTAATTGACTGAGCAAACTTTCTCTGCAAGGCTTGAAACTTGACATGGATGATCTTGAGAACATATTAGGACAATGGTGAGCATTTGAGATCCTTTGGACTCAAGCATCTTGATGCAAACTAAAACCCTAATTTGAGGTAGACTGCCTTAGAAGAGGGTTTGTCTGGTCAACCTTTGGACTACCTTTAGCAATTTGAGGACCTCACTTGAAATGTATTGAGAAATATGGGAGGGAAAATTTTGGGGTACAACAACTCCCATGGACAAACTGTCTTACATATGAATCTCATCCTTTTTTTAATCATTTTTCTTAAAATGGAGGTTTCTGCCTGAATGAATAGCATAAGTTCTAATTCCCTTTTTAAAGTCTTCACTAGAAGCAAAATAATTCCCTAATTCCAAGTTGTAATCATCCATTAATTTTGGAAGCTTGAAAGTTGGAAAATCATCTTTTAAAACCTCACCGTCTTCACTATCATAATCATGTTGTAAATTATCAGTTTCATACTCCTCAATATCACTCAAACCTCTAAAGCTTTATTTTGTAGCCTCACATTCATTCACATCATCAAATACACCACTACCCACAACTTATTCTTCCATTAACTTTTGTTTCCTTGGTCTCCTAACCTTGGATTTCCCCTTACCTTTACCATTTCCCTTACCTTTTAAATTACCCTTTCCCCTCCCTCTTTTCTTTCCCCCTAGCTATATCAATTTTAATTTCTTCAACAATTCCAATTGAATAATTAGAATCCTAAAAGTTCTCTTTCAAAACACTATCATCTTCACTATTCCCACAAGCTTTTTGGTTACAATCCAGCCCCTCATTTTACTTGTTACACTCTAATGCCTCGCCATCTTCTTGGTTACAAATAATTCCCTCAGCAACTGAATCAGTTTGAACACTTACCAAGTAATGTGTGTCATCCAATATATCATCTTGGTCACATACAACATGTTCAGTGGTCCCATCTAAAGTAATATTCACTATTGCATCCTCAGACACGGCGTCCCCCTCAAAGTTAACATTCAGACATGAATCTTTTTGGTTAATGTTCTCAGTGGTCCCATCGATATTAACTTCCTCAAGTGAACCTTTTTGGTTAACTGCATCTGAATCTTCTACACCAGCGGGCCCTCTTTCATCAAATTTATTACCTAGATTATTCAAATATTCAATAGTCCCTAAGTCATCAAAATTTCCTATTACAATAGTGTTGTACCCCAAAATTTTCCCTATCATTTTATCAAGATTTCCCCTCACAAGACTCTTTGGACTCCAGACCAGATTAGGGTTTGCTCAGCTCAAGACATCTCCTTGTACTAATGACCTGAAATTAGGGTTTGAATTTGCACAAGTATTTTTGGACTTCTAATGCCTCATGTTACTTTCATACTTCATTTTGGACTCCTAAGATTTCCCATACCAAGTTTCAAGCCTTGAGTCAAATTTCTGCCCAGTCAATTGGACAGTTGACCTAAAAATCAGTTGTATTGGGGAAAAAGTCAACTGTGGCCAATTTAAAGTAAAAGCTTATAATTTGTTATCCATATCAACATTATAGACTCATATGAACCATTTGATCAAGTTTGGACCACAACTCCTCAAGAAATTTGATCAGATCATCAAAAGGGCAAAATGGTCATTTTTAGGGTTTTGACTGTAGAAGGGCAATTTCTGATTTTTCACCTATCCAATGGAAAATTGGGTTCAAGCATGGTTTCAAGGACTCAATGGCATCATCTTGACCTAATCACAAGGTTTAAAAGATCTCAAATGCATTGGATTGACAGATGAATTTTCCAATCAACTGATCAAAAATCAACTGTACACTGAAAAGTCAAACTTTGACTTTTTGGTCAAAATCAAGTGCCAAGGGTCATTTTTCATCAAAATGTGTCAAAACATGACACTTGTTCACCAAGAAACCTAATTTTGAAAATTAGGGTTTAAGATTGAAAATTTTCATAACAGAAATTTTCTAAGTTATGAAAATTTCTTATTTTTTCCCAACTTTTCCCAACTTTTTCACCATGATGCAATTGGATTCAAAGAAAACTCCCAACATTAAAGTTGTAGTCCTCCATAAAATCTACAACTTTGATTCACAAAGTTTTCCCAAAAGATTCTTGGATCTCAAGTTATGATTTTGTGAATAGGGGTCCATAAAACTTTTAACAGTGAAATTTTGCCATAGTTTAGGCAGATTTTTGACCTAACTTCATGGAAAATTTTCACCTAGTTCCAATTGTAATATAAAAATGAATTTCAAAGATGGATTGTAGATCATATGACAAGCTTTCCAAAATGTTCAAGAACTCTCCAAGATCATTTGTGGTTAGGGAGAATCGAAGGAATGAAAATGGCCATTTCTCACTTTTGTCCATGGCATTTTGCACATTGCTACAAGTTGCAAATCTGTCCTAAGCATGCTTGTACTTGTTTTACAGGTATTAAACTTTTCCACACTCCTTAATTTAATGCAAATACATTGGACAAAGGCATTGTTCTGAGTTATGGAGCATTGTACAAGGAATTATTCCAAAAATGGCATAAAGGTGACAATACCATTTCCATAAAGCACACCTTTTGCAATTTTGTTTATCTTGAGCATTGAACCTAATCTCTTTGTGAAAATAAGATCCATAAACATCAGAAAAGGTTTACCAACTCTCCTCAGGCCTTGAGCTAGCCTGTATAGGCTTTGGCATTGTCACTTCATACATTTTCTTCAAAAACAAGCAATTGTGTAAAAAGTCCACAACTTGAAAATCTGATAAGAGCAAGTCTTGGAACATTTTCAAACAACCTCAGCATATTACACCAAGCCTGAAACATGATTGCCAAGCCTCTCAAACACCCTTAAGCACAAAAGCACCAACTTCTGCCCAAAACAGGGTCATCTCTGCAAACACCAAGCCAAAACCAAATTGCCTCGTGCGTTTTGTCTTGAACCACTTCAGACACATTCCATACAACACACCTAAACTATCCAAGCCATTGTTCAGCAACTGTAACCTCATTTTCACACTTCACCATTTTCATTTTGAAGCTTTGCAGGTTGAGTTCTACAAGTACATTCAGGCAAGTTTAAGGCAAGCTAAGCATTGGGAAAGGTCAAGGGAACTTCAGGCAAGCTAACACGACCTTCAGGCCTCACTCACAACTCCTACATTGCCATATCCAAACTTAACTGAAACAGGTATTTGTCAAGATTCTAACTCCTTATTTAGGCATCATTAAGCTTAGGTTTGTGAAGCAAAAATGTAGTCTCTAATGTGTTTGAGTTGTACATATGCATAGCTTCCATTTATATTAACTGAGCTAGGAGAATTTAGATGTTGAACATGCTGAAAAAGTTTGGTTAGAATTTAGGGCCACTGAAATTCTCTCTGGTCTTTGAGAGTTAGATCAAGTTTTTTATATCATTAGAACCGTGGTTTAAAACTCTATAAATTTCATGTTGTGAGTTTTTTATTTCATGCAAGCAATAGAGAGAACAGATTTGTGTTGCAGGGTGCGCGCGCGTTTGACAAGAGGACAGGGATGAAGTGTGTTCTGGGCCAGGACCTTGGGCTTGCTTCTTTTGACACCCCTCCTTTTACTTTCTGCACCCCCTTTTTGCATTTTCTTATATTTTCTATATTTTCTTGCATATTTATATTTTCTGACTTTATTTATTTTTTATGAACATTAAAAAATCCCAAAAAATATTTTCTTTTTTTTTGGATTTTATCTTTTTTTTTTTGCATAAAAAAATAAATATTAGGTTAATATACTTTTATTTTCTTAAATAAACTTGTAATTAATATAAAAATATTATATATTTTTATTTTTATTATTTATACACTTAAATTAATATTTTCATACAATATTAACATTTTTGTATATATTTTTATTTTTATTTATTTTCTTGTACATAAATAGAATAAATAATAATATAATGTATATTTTCTTTTAAACCAAAATTAGGGTTTTCACCCTTTCAAAAAATAATCATTTTATTTTTTAATTTTTTAAGACATTAAATAAATTTATTTTACATACATAAAATTAATACAAAAAAAAAACATTTTGTGCATATTTACATTTTATTGCATATTTAAATAATTGTTCATTTATTTATTATTTGTACAATGAATTCAATTTGGTTGTAATAGTTTTAGGGTTTTATTTTGAGCAATATCCCTTATTCAAAACTTGTATCCCCACCTCCCCATAATAATGTTGTAATAGTCTAGATTTAGTTTACGCATTTTATTGCTTTTATATGCATGTTTAGTAAATTAGGGTTTTGTATGCAAAGACCAAAAATCAAAACAAATAGCATGACTAAATGCAAGACAAAAAAGCATGAAAAATGATAACACCTTGCACACAAGCACCCCTAGGGTTTCATCCACTTTGTTGCCTTAAAACATGGCCATGGTATGCATGCTAGGTATCTTGGAAAAATCAATCAAAACAAAAGATCATAGTCCCTCGATGACGCTTTCAAAATGTTTCCTAAAAACAAATGATCTTAGTCCCTAAAACTTGCTAAGATGCTTGGCACTATTGCTATCATAGTCATACGATGACCCACGCCCGTCCCATTTAACATCCAAAGATAGGGTTGTTTACCAAATACAATGGTAAAACAACAACGTCAAAGGATTAAAAATGTACAAGAAAGATCTTTGAGTAGGGTAGACAACTCATAGTTACTTGATCAATTTGAAAACATCCTTGCTATTTTCAAAAACACACACACAATTTCAAAACCAATTTCCAAACAAACTTTCAAACATTGAAACATTTTTCAAAAGACAAAACATCTTTGTATACATTCTTCAAACAAGAATCATTACAAATATTTCCAAAATGATGGCCTCTTTTCAAAATACTTTCAAAACCACACAAAGCACCATTTCAAACAATTGAAAAGGCAAAGCAAGTGATCTAAACAAGTAAGTAAGAGCCCATGGAAAACCATGGATGAAAAGGGTGCTAGCACCTTCCCTTTTCATAATCTACCCCCCGAACCCAAGAAAATATCTCAAAGGTCTTTCCTGTGCTTTTTGACCTTTCCTTTGGATAAAATAAAAAGTCGGTGGTGACTCTTGCTAAACCGAAATATTTGCAAACACAAACGCAAAACCTCAAGTCAGTTCTCCCACCGTATCATAGAACTGGCGACTCTGCTGGGGATAACTTTATAAGTGGGGTTACCTTAGGGTTTAGATCACCTTTACATGCTTACCTTGTTTGACTTGTTTGCTTTACATTTGGTTCTATTGTTTGGGTTTGAATCCTCTACCCGGATTTGGGAAACATTCATAGGTAAATGGAAATACATTGTGGAAACTGTGTGGGGTATACCGACACGGTCTAAGAAATAGCTATATTAGTGCGACATATTTGTGGGTACCGGTAGCCTTTGAGTCAATCAAAGAGAATACGGGGCCGCTGAGTGATGTCATGAAGCACTAATGGACTTTTAGAACCTTTACCTGACCATCTTGGCCTTTTAAGATGTAGTGAGATGACCGGCTTTGGTGCAGTCCGAAGTTGGTAGATACTCGATACTACACTCATTGAGGGTTGTTTTCTTGGAATATTTCGGTCGCCAGTAAAGTGGCTAAACTGAAACAATGAACACAGAAAACAATCCAGTGATATTGATCTCCTTAGCACCCGGTTACTATTTTTAGGACAGGTTGAGCCAACTAAACTTCAAGAGGGTACTTACCTATGAAACCCCATGCAAGCCTAAACTAGGAACTTGTGTGACTTGCTTGTACATATATACTTGTGCATAACATCATGAACATCATGAAGCATCATGAAGCATCCTCTAACCATTTCAAGGATTTTGGATCTTCATCTTTGTTCCTGTTTTGTAGGTTATGAAATTACTTCGCAGGAAAACAATTCAGGTCAACCTTGTGAGAATTCCTCCTCAACTCAAGGAGCTTGCTTCCAAGATTCCAGAGTATTCTCCATTCACTGAAAAACATGGTCGACTACTCAACTTGGTCAACTCCAACACAGAGGAAGACAAGGTGAAAGTTCTCTTCTAGTTCTTTGACCCCCTACACCACTGCTTCACATTTTCTGACTACCAACTAGAGCCTACTTTGGAGGAATTTTCTTAACTCCTGAGGATTCCTATTCTCCATCAACTACCTTTAAACAGTACGGAAAGAGATCCAAATCCTGAAGATGTTGCTCAAGCCCTACACTTGCAACCATCTGATATC